TGCTGTGTTCATCCAGCTCTACACCTTGTTATCTCAATAAATCTTTTAACTGTTTGAGGGAGAACTTTTAAATGTTCAAAAGTACCTTCTTATTGAGCGAAGAATATACTGGCATCAAACACTGACATTTCTACATTGTTGCAAATGAAACACAAGAAAGCCTTTTGCAGTATTTTTTGATTTTTTAAAAATGTTTTAAAAATGACAATTTAGCCACTCTGATTCTCTTGTCTGTGGGTTGAAATTGTGGATCGAGCACCCAGTTTGTTGTGCCCATACCCTGGACAAGGTTACCCCTTTTCTTAGAGTTTCGGACAGGAAAGTGCAAACTGTTCTACTCCCAAGCAAGGAGGAATCACCTGGCAACCCCTTTCTTATTCATGAGCCTCCTCGGTTAGTCACACAACATCGATTTAAAACAAATCCTTCCCTCTTGAGCACAAGAACAGTAATAAGCAAACTTTTAATGCTTTCTTTTAATTATAAAGGTGACTGTAACTTAAAATGTTTATTGTGATAAATCCATTCTCAGCTGTATTAATCAAACCACACCAGGTTACTGCTCTTAAATATATCAGGGAATATTTTTAAAGCAATGTTTTTCTTAAATTACATTCTTAAAACGTTGCCAAATTTGCACTCAGTGACGGCAGATTTCATTTGCTGACAGAGAAAGAAAAATTTAACTTGCACCAGTTCAGGCACAATTTAAACCCTGACAACTCTGCACCCAAAGCAGAAACTTAAAAGTTTCAATAAGAGACTAAACAGACATACTGATTTCAGTCTTTTGTTGCTCCTTTTAGTTGATTTTTATTTTTAAGCATTACAAAGAAATCCAAATGCTAGAGGGCCATTACAGACAGGAATTGCAAACTGGCATAATAAGGCCAACATTTTAATGCTGTAGACCTGTCTACAGAAACATAGTAGAGCAGAATCACTGTGATGGACTCTGTCCAGAGGGAATCCAAATAGAAGGGTCAACATCATTTGCATACTCAGTTTGGCAGAACTGTAACCCAGGAGCCAAGCTATTGATATTCAGAACTTATTTGAGTTATTTCACAGAAAATCAGAATAATACATGCTGCCCCATCAACTGATAACAAATGATAGGACGGGTAGATATTCATCAGTCTTTTTCTACTACCCCCAAACTTTCTCCTCCGTACCTCTGCTCCCCGTCACACCAGACAAAAGATTTGATTTCATAGTTGTGAAATGGCATCAGGTCTGCATGCACATCAGTATCGCTTCACAAGGTTGAGTGAGACCTTATTTTCAGATATGCCTAATGCTAGTTCTGGCATGATACTCCTCAGTGAAACAGGAATGAGCTTGATAGTTATGGTGGAGTAAGAAAAATGCCAAGCACTGAGTTTGTAGATAACACTAAAATTAGTGGTATAGTGAAGAAGGTTATCTGCCATTCAATCATGGCTGTTAAGTTTCTCAACCCCATTCTCCTGCTTTTTCCCTGTAACCCTTGATCCACTTAAGAACCTATCTGTCTCTGTCTTAAATATACTCAATGACCTGGTCTCCACAGCCTTCTGTCGCAGTGAATTCCATAGATTCACCACTCTCTGGCTGAAGAAGTTTCTCTTTATCTCTGTTCTAAAAGATCTTCTCTTTACTCTAAGGCTGTGCCCTCAGTTCCTAGTCTCTCATACCAATGGAAACATCTTCCCAACACCCACTCTGTCCAGCCATTCAGTATTCTGGAAGTTTCAATTAGATCCCCCCCTCATCCTTCTAAACTCCATCGAGTATAGACCCAGAGTCCTCAAACATTTCTCATATGTGAAGCTTTCCATTCCGGGAACCATTCTCGTGAACCTCCTCTGAACCCATTCCAGGGCCCAAAACCGCACACAATAATCCAAATGTGGCCTGACCAGAACCTTATAAAGCCTCAGAAGTACATCATTGCTTTTATATTCTAGTCCTCTTGAAATAAATGCCAACATTATATTTGCCTTCCTGACTACTGACTCAACCTGCAAGTTTACCTTGAGAGAATCCTGGACTAGAACTCCCAAGTCTCTTTGCACTTCAGACTTCTGAACTTTCTCCCCATTTAGAAAATAGTCCATACCTCTATTCTTCTTACCAAAGTGCATGACCTCACACTTTCCCACGTTGTACTCCATCTGCCACTTCTTTGCCCACTGTCCTAACCTGTCCAAATCCTTCTGCAGCATCCCCACCTCCTCAATACTACCTGTCCCTCTACCTATCTTTGTATCGTCTGCAAATGTAGCCAGAATGCTCTTGGTTCCTTTATCTAGATCATTAATGCATAAAGTGAAAAGTTGTGGTCCCAACACTGACCCTTGTGGAACACCACTTGTCACTAGCTGCCATCCTGAGAAAGATCCTTTTAACCCCACTCTCTGCTTTCTGCCAGACAGCCAATCTTCTATCCATGCTGGCATCTTGCCTCTAACATGAGCCCTTATCTTATTCAGCAGCCTCCTGTGCGGCACCTTGTCAAAGACCTTCTGGAAGTCCAGGTAGATAACATCTATTGGCTGTCCTTGGTCTAACCTGCTCATTATTTCCTCAAAGGATTCTAACAGATTTGTTAGGCATGACCTCCCCTTGATGAAGCCATGCTGATTTTGCCCTATTTTACCATGCACTTCCGAGTATTCAGAAATCTCATCCTTCACAAAGAACTCTAAAATCTTACCCATGACCGAGGTTAGGCTAATCAGCCTGTAATTTTCAGTCTTTTGCCTTACTCCCTTTTTAAACAGGGGTGTCACGTTAATGATTTTCCAGTCCTCTGGGACCCACCCTGACTCTGGCGATTCCTGAAACAATATAAAAGGAACCTGAGG